CCACACACACACCGTATTAGCCCACTCATTAAAATTGCCCTTGCACTACAGTAACGCGACTACCTTTAACTTTAATCAAACTTTCATCATAATTATTATACATAGGCAAATGTCCCCGCACATCGATTTAACCTGTGGTAAAACCCAATTCTGCCATATTTTTTTTTCTTAAGAAATACTCGACTTGTTCTTCAAACTTGCGAAATAAGTCAAGTTGAAATACTAAAAGTAAGGACACTCGAATCAAAGACTAACAAAAAGATATATTAATACACGCAAACGCACCCTTTACCAATCCCGAAAAAGCAGTAAAAGAAGCCCCCAAAAAAAATCATCTGCAACAACAATACCAACGACAGAGTAAGGAACCCTGACACACCTGTAGATGTGCACATAACAGTAGCACATGAGTGCTGTGGGAAAGGCAAACATGACGAGGAAGGAGACGGTGCTGAATCCTTTGTTTGGGAAAAGCGTGCAGACGTGAGTCTCCAGGCCACTGAGACATTCGTACAGATCCTCCAGGCCGAGGCGGTGCCAGTGAACAAGGATAGGCAGGAAACTGAGGAGAAAAAATGTGAGGGGGGGGGGGGAGGTTAAGACTTTCATCACAGTGGGCTCCAGTGGTTTAATAAATGCATTCTGTCACACACAAAAAGTTGAAACAATGTCAATGGGCGATAGTTGTTTTCAGTGTCCTTGAGCAAAACTCTAGCTAAATAAAGAGTCAACCATACAGCCCTGCCCTTTGAAGACCTGTGTACTGATTATGATCATTGAGTACATTTGTTTGACTTGCTGTCTTTTTTTGTAATGTGGTATTTGTTGTTTGCGTAAAGAGGATCACATGGACACAATAACGATCATGCAGTGCTAGAAAAAGCAAGACAAAGACAACGAAGGGAAATAAGAATCGTAGGATCTACCAGTGATGTCGTTCAATTACCCGCTGTGATGTCTATATTATGATACATTTGCTTTACAATGGCAATACAAGACATTGGAAGGAAAAAAGGGTCACGCTCTTACTCTTACATTATTTCATTTCCCACATGTAACCAAGACAAAGTCAGGGAAAATGTGACTTTAGCCTGCTTGTCTTCTACTTGTAAGTTCATCAAGAGACTGTAATTTACATTTTATTGTCTCGGAATTAGACAGTCTACTGTACATTTTTTATAGTGAGACACGCTTTTGCCCACCGGCTGACTACAGCTATCATTTATATTATTTATCTGTTATTAGAAAATAGATTGCATAGTTTTGTTCCTCAGAGAATTTCGTCTCGAACATAATAATAATAATAATAAT